CATGAGCTGTATTTATTGTTATTAGTAACAGCAGACATTGGTTAAGATAAAAGTGTATGACACACCGCCTCCTGCCTCACCGATTGGAAAAACTATGATCTAACAGGGCCTCACCTGTGTGCGTCGAGGGTGCGGTTGCAGCACATGTGACTCACTCGAAGCAGCCATGAAAGCAAGGGATTCGACCCAGCTTTGAAGAAATGCCACCTCCGGTAATCCCCAAGGAAACCGGAGGACACAGCCGGCCCACAGACGTTTTCTCCTGGAAGCTTAGGTTCTCACATGATTACAAGGTTTTTTGTATAAAGTTCTCTCACATCGGAGGCTGCTTGTGTGAGGATCTAGCGAAATTGCATTTTTTGTGATGAATGACTTTCCTGAAAAAGCTGAAATGGAGTTATCAGAGCTAAAAGTAGCAAAAGGCTACCTAGAAGCTAAATAAAGTGAAAAGCTAGTTAAAAGAAGCAATAGGCTAGCTAGAGGCTAACGTCAAGTCAAGTCAACTTTATTTATAAAACATTTAAGCTGTTACCAAAGTGCTTAAAGTAGCAGAATAATAGCTAAAAGTAGCAGAACACTAGCTAAAAGATTAGAATAGCATAAACTAAAAGTAGCATAAGAAGGCAAAAATGGAGCTGTAGCAGATTTCAAGAACAATTTTTTGGGGAAAAATTGAAAGAAATCACAATAATTTTTGTAAATAACATTGAATAGTTTGAAATCTGTAGAAGTTACAAATAACCAAAAGTCATAGCCCCCATCTTTCGAATGAGCTGAACTTTTTGATCTATGAATGACTAAAACAGCACAAAATGTGCAGAAAGTGCTAGACTGCAAAAACGGTATACGGAAAAATTAAAAATGCAAAAACAATACAGAGAGTTCCGAATCAGTATTTGTAATAATACTAATATTAATATTAATAATAATAATAAAACCAGGTCACAATGAAACTGTCAGAATTTGTGAAATACAAGTTTCTTTAATTTAATTTGGGATTAGATCTTATTTTTTGGTTTCAACTAAATCATTTTGATAGAAAGGTACACTTTGGATGTCAAAATTTATTACTATACATATTTTTTAACATTGCAGACTTTTTGAGAAATTAATTTACATAACAGGAAACATAGAAAAATGTCTAAACTAATCTTCCTCTGTGACATCTTCATGGCTTACTCCAACAACAAGGGATTTCCATTTGGCTGTGTACAGGTAATGGCAGGACAATGTCTTTTTTTTTAGGAAAAACAGTTTGTTGTTTTTGACCGGACCGATTCAGTCGGTCCCAAAGATTTGCCCATCTTCTCCATCTTGGCAAACTAGTTAAGAAATAATTTTCTTCTCTTTTAAATTAAGAATTGCTGCTCTCCACAGTTTTTAGCCTTTATGTTAAACAAGATAGTTAGTAATTTAGCCTTTTAAAAATATTACCAAAAACTTGGGTGACATTTTTCAATTAGGTTTTCTTAGCAACAGATAAAACCACAGATAGTTCACATGAAGGATTTTTAATATAGAAGAAAACCTGTTGGGATTTTTTAAATGCTGTATGCTTGAGAAACAAAGATCAACACAGCTGTGTTTGTTGGAAAATAATGAGCATTGACTCATATCTGATATGATGGTTTCAGGGCCAAAGACTTGCAGACAAAATAAGACAGCTAATCCAGGTTTCTTTTATGTGAAACACTTTTCTGCGTTGATGAAGTCATGTCTTGGATCTGCATTTAAAAAATTGGAACTTTTTTCATATTTCAATATCAAAATCCTAATAATTCACTGGCATTTGGCATAAACTGTGTTTTGGCTGTGTTAGCAAAGATAAAATTCTTAATAAAGTAGAATAATCCACAATCTTAATTTATAGCAGACATTTTTACCTTGAAGTAGGAAAGCTCAGGATTGTTAATGAGGGCAGCATTCCACTTTTGCAGCTACACATGCTGGTTGTTCTGTAAAAATGCCAACAAGCAGAATTTCTTTTTAATTAAATGCAGCCCTCGTTAACACACCTGTGCCTTTCATGCTTTTTGAAGTTTAAAATATCTTCTGTGAAATAAATCTAATAAATGGTTTTAGATATCCTATTTAGCATTAAGCATGATAATTAGCATTAGTAACAACAGCAAAATCTGCCTATACTGTAAACGCAACCAGCTGATGTTAGATGCCAGCACCTTGAAGGAGCGTCTCTCCATCCATCCATTGTCTTCACCCACTTCTTCCTTTCTGGGTCACGGGGGTCACTGGTGCCCATGTCCAGCTGTCACTGTGTGAGAGGCGGGGTACACCCTGGACAGGCCTCCAGTCCATCACAGGGACACATAGAGACAAAAAAAGACAAACAACCATTCACTCTCTCACTCACACCTACTGATTGTAGTTACCCATTAGACTAACATGCATGTTGTTGGTCTGTGGGAGGAAACCATAGTACCAGGAGAAAACCCTCACATGCATGAAGAGAACATGTAAACTCCACCCAGAAATGTTCCAGGCTGGGATTAGATCCAGAATGGTTCTTGCTGAGAAATGACAGCTCTACCAACTGTGCCACCATACTGCGCCCGGTGTGTCCCTTGTGACTTAAAATAAAGGGTTACTTTAAATCTTGTAGTCTAACACTAGAAAAAGGAATTGGACCTATGGCTGAGTCCCGTCTTACCCTTACGTTTTGAGTGTTCATGCTGAGTGATTAAGGTGTCCCAATAATTTTTGTGATGTGTGAGCAAAGCAAACGGATGGAGCTATCTGGCACTTGAGTGGAGGTTTGAGCTGCATTAGCAGAAACTATTCACGATTTGTCTTGGTTAAATAATGTATATCCGTCACAAAACACTATTGTAATAGTGGCCATCCACACATTTTTTTATGAATGTGCAAAAGTGTTTATTTTTAGACTTTTTAGCATGTCCTTCATATTGAAATGATGATTTAGGGGCACCAAAACATTTTTTGAAAACAAGATGCACAGTGAAAACGATCTTGAAACACCGCCCTTGCGTTTTTGTGTAAACAACCAAAACAACCAAAATGCAACCTTTTTCAAAACCGTCATACCCTCGCATCTTATTTAACCAACTGCCCAAAGGCGTCCTGTGCTTTTTTGTGTTGTGTTTTTAATTGCACACCCAGTGCGCAAACTTTGTGTGCACGATCCACACCTTGTTTCCTGTTTTTGGTGTCTATTCTTGGCATAATTACAGCACCATATACAGACCTGGCAACAGCATTTTCTGGGTCATTTTTGGTGATTCTGTGTGGATGATGATGTGTAAATAAATGGTTCAGTGTTTATGAGTATATTTTAAAAACAACAAAAACATTGTTTTGGAAAATGTGCATGTCTGTGTAGACAAGGCCTCACTTTAAGTATATCGATACTGGTTTACTCGAAATGTGTGTGTATGGGAACACCAAAACATGAAATTGGATCTGTATCAGTGTCTTAATTTTAAAATTCTTGCACTAGGTCATGTTGTTTTAAATATTGTAGTCTGGTGTTTCTTGACTCATTGTACCATAAGATCCCTGTCCTCTATCAATTACAGGAAAGACCCTGCGGAAAGTAAAGACAAATGGAAAAACTTGTGCACACCAATTTCTAATGAAGCTTTTGTCTTTGCTATCAATCATTTACTGACAGTCCTTTACCTGTGGCAGTGCAACATCAGCAGTATGGGCTCACGCTGATTTGCACATATGCATATTTATTGACAGCAGAGGCAGAAAGAACATTTCTCTGCTGCCAGTGCCTAGTTATCCCAATCCCCTTTTTGCATTCCTCAAACCAGTGCAGTCAGAACTCGTATACGTCCAAACTGCTGCACACAGACAATGTGCAGTCTCTCTCACACGGGCATTATTCTGATGGTCTTCTGCTGCTGCTGGGGAAGCTTGAGCTCTGGTTTCATTCAAGCCTAAGGCCATTGCTAGAGTCTCAAGTTTGCGTGCAGTGCTGCCCGATGCTTAACAATAAAGATATCATCTTCTGAGTTGCTTTGGTGATGCTAAGAATAAAATCAGGCTTTTTTTCTGTTTGAAGTCTGGACTGGGATCACAAAAGTATGAAGGTAGTGTAACCCCCCTTCACCCGAGGTTGAGTTCAAGAAACAATTGTATTCCACTTTTTTTCTTTGCTTAGAAAATAGCTGTTTCTAGTTATAGTTGATAGTTTTTTTCTTTATTGTCAATGTGGAATCTTTTTAGAACTTCAGTCATTATATATATTTTTTGAAACTGCATGTTTTGATTCTGATCAAGGCTAATGTTTTGTGAACTTTTACTGATCATCTTTTTTTTTTTACTTGGAGTTCATTGTTGGATGTCACGCAACATCATAGCATAGCATAGAAATTTTGAGCACATTTAGTAGATTTGACCTGTCATTGTTTGGAATATGATATCCATGCATACAAAGTTTTCTAAAATTAATGCTTTCCCAGTAATTTTTTTTTTTGGAATGGATCTTAAAGGAGATTAAAAACTGCATAAAGGCATGGAGACCGCTGTTACTTAATTACTCCAGAAGTCATTATTGAAGGGGGTTACATTTCTGCCCAATTAATTCAGATTTCTTATACTTGTGACATATTTTGTGCGTTTGTTCCTCCCATAATCAGCAGTTTAACCTCAGTCCATGTTTTTCTGCCTCTTTTCACAGAGTTCAGTTGTTCGGTGAGAAACGCCGTGACTTTTAGCTGACTTTTAGCAAAATTCCTTCTCTCCCTCAGGAAATTTGCTGAGAGGAAGCAGCTGTAGCTTTGCTGCCATATTGCTGCTCCTTTGTGGATTTGTGATTTCCTGTGCTACTGGCCAGGATGTGTGAACCATGGAGCTTACAGTGTTTCTTTTTCCACAGAACATCAAGATGAAGACAAGATAATATTGTCAACGATGGATCATTATTTCACCGTTGAGGTCTATTCAGTTTTGAACACGGAGACCTAAAGTTCTAATGTCTACAAGCCGGAGTTCTTCAGGAGATAACAGGACGCTGATCCTTATCTGACTCGGGTCTGGACTGAACTCGCTCAGATGATGGCTACAACAGAAACAAAGACGTCCAGCAGCACGTCGGGTTTGTCATGGGCAAGAGTCTGTAAAGAGTGTGGTCAGCAGCATGAGGGTCAGGACGCCCACCTATATGAGTACCAGGACGATGTAGACGATGAACTGGTTTGTCACATCTGCCTGCAACCCCTACTCAAACCAATGGATACTCCCTGTGGCCACACTTATTGCTTTTATTGCCTCAGTAACTTCCTGAAAGAGCAGGACTTCTGCCCCGTGGATCGCCAGCGTTTGCAGCTGCATCAGTGCAGGCCCTCCAGCCTGCTGGTGAGGAACCTGCTGGACAAGCTCACTGTGATGTGCCCCCACTCTGCAGAGTGCCAGCAGCAGATGCAGCGCTGTGAACTGCAGCCTCACCTGCACAACAGGTAAGCTTCTGGGTGAAATGCTCAGTTCATGAGTTTTTTAGTGAATAGCAGAAGGGCATTCAGCTCAGAAATTTGATAAAGAACTATACTATATATATAATACAGGGGAAGGATTTTGCTTTTTAAAAGTGATGGTGCTAATTTAATGTCATCTGTCATACTGATGCTGCTGTTCTTGGGTACTGAAAACAAATCCATCAACCTCTTTGAAGGTGCAACACTTACTTCTGTTAGTACCTTCTCATCATGAACACACAGTTTTCTAATTACTGAGCCCAAGAAGGTGCAGGTCAGCTGTCTTGTCCACATGGCCAGTGTGGTGGACATTGTGGTCAGACATGACGTAGTAGGTTTTGAGCAGCTGGTTGCCCTCCGTCAGCCTCTTTGTAAATAAAGTACAGGGTTGAGGGACAAGCAGCAGTCTCAGCTCTTTGACTAAATCAGACTCAACATGTCTCATCTGGTTCTCTGCAATGCTGTGAAAGTGTTTGCTGTTCTGCACAGATCTTTTCTTACATTTTTTGTTATTTTCTAATACAACCAGCAGCAAGGAATGGATGACTAAACCAATAAAAGCAGATGACAAATGTATCGTGACACAATTAGGACAAACTTTTATGTTTATTTATAGCCAGATATTCATGTATTGTTTCTAAGAGTAAGGTCTTGTCCTTGATGTTTTTGTCTTGTCTTAGATGTTCTGTTTTTAGAAGGCTGAGGGAGGAAGCAGAGAAGAGGAAGAGGCCCTCTTGGCATGAATTGAAAGGACGTAAGAGCGACGGAGATTCTTCTGGAGATGCTAAACAGTCCGCGACGCAGTCTCGAAATCCCCACCGGGATCAGTCTGAGCCTGGTCTGATTAATCCTGCTTATGAGGAAATCGATGATGGTATGAAGTCATGTGATCCTTTTTACTAGCTTTACAGTCACCCACTCTTACAAATCTGATTCGTGTCAAAACATGATATTTAATCATCTTCCTCGCAGTGTTTTGCAATAGGAAGCTTGAATGTTGCTGTGACTACGCTTTTGGAAGCTTCTTGGTTTAATGGAAATGGATTTCTTCCTGGTGTGATTGTTGAGACAAACATAGAAGTTGTTGTTTTTTTAATTTATTTTAGCTTTAAGGGTTTGATTCCATCAAACTCGGGTGAATTATCAGCCTCGCTTCACAAACATGCACCAGCTCACAGATGTTTTAACCAGATGATTTCAGTGTTGGGGAAAAAAAAACTCTTAAACCAACACAGGAATCACAGCAGGGACCAAAGTCCACTAAAACACAGTTACCAAGCAACTGATAATAGATGCCTGCATGGACATTTGTGCTCCTGCCATTAGCAGTATCATAAATGATTGATGTATGTCCTTAGGTCTGAAAAATGAGTCGTACAAGTCATAAAAAAAAAATTCTGGTTTAGTATTAACAAAATGACTCATCCAGGTTACATCATGTCTGCTGCTGTCAGATAAAGAATGTTTTCTTTTCCTTTTGCTAGTGGGACTAAATTGTTCAGCAGAACTGCTGAGGTGTTATTAACCAATGAATCTTAAAGTCCGTGTGAAAGCACTGTATGGACCGCTCTGTGATGACGTCACATCTTGAGCATGAACGGTCTTATCACGTTGGAAGACCAGCTCAGGTGGATAAATAAAAAATAGAGAACATACAGACTGGCAGAGATAAAAAAAAAAGTTGTTCTTCAGGTGAAAGTACCTCCAACAAAATGATCTGAGCACATTTCAGTTTGAGACTTGATTTTAATCAGTCTGCCTGACATAATTTCATATGTGGATTTTCCTGTTAACAGGAAATAAAATTCAAGGATGCTGAAGTCAATGTTCATTATTGTCATTCGCACCACATGTGGTACATGAGGTGGAACGAAATTGCGTGCACAGGGTCCTAGTTACATACAACAAAAGTATAAAATGTAAAAGAAAAACTGTAATAAGATCTAAGATATGAACTAAGAAAAACGTATATTAAAAATACTCTAAGCACTAGTAGTACAAAAAAAATACAAAAAATATGACTCATTAACTTTGTTTTGATGCTAATACTCATTGTTTATAGTGATGTTTAATAAGAAGGCTAAAGCTGCATAGTAAATTGCAGAAAAATGTGAAAAAGCTCACTTTATCAGTAGTTTACCTATTTACATAACCTTTAACCAGGCTCTTATGAGGTATCTATTCCTCACTTCCTCCACTCAGAGGTAATGTTTGAAGGCTTGGAGACTTTGCCTTGAGGTCTTTGCTTGTGAGCAGGTTTGGATTCAAACCAGATAAGTTACTTCATCACAGCACATCAACAGCATTTGACGCAACTCGTTTGTCCATTTCATCATGTGTATTTTTGTAGAGGTCAGTCGTTCAAAAACCTCAATTTCTGCTAATGCTGTTACTTGTCATTTCATACATTTGAACTTTTCTGTCACATTGCTTTTTTTCTCGTTTCTGAACGAATAAACTTAGTAAATAAATATCACGAATAAAGCTTGTGTCAATCTAAGTAGTTTCTCTATTAATAGTCAGTTGGTCTTCCAGCATGCTCATCCTGTGCATTAAAGCAGTCTGAAGTCTTGCCTGAGAACATGGAAAGAATTAATTTACTTTATTAACTATAGATTGAGGTCAGCTCAGTTTCACCGTCTGCTTTTCAGACTTTCTTTTACACCATTTAGACAACCACTGTTATGAGTTTGCTGCGGTTCTTTGGTAAAACGCAAACAAGAGAGGCAGCTCAGAGCCCAGAGTTTGCTTACATACAGATGTCGTCACTGGTCAGCTGGTTAACAGCATTGTTTATTAAATCTGTTGGTGCACGCACTTCTTCTCATGTCACTAAGTTTGATCAGACTCATTATTGTTTTACCTCCCCGTACATTCAAGCATGACACTGGCTTGTGAGTGGATGTGCCGAAGAGTCCGTGTGCTTTAAAATATACATCACTTAAGTTTAAAGCCAGGTTACTTGTTAACACAGTGTTGGGCAATGTTGCACATTTTTACTGGTGAGATTTAACAAGTTTCTTGAACTTTATTATGAGCAGTTCAAAGGTAGCAGCTGATCTTCAAGAAAAGAAGTTAAAGATCTGCTACATCAATCGCAAACCACTTATAAAAAAACACTCTTAACTATTTCTGTAGCTTACTGTTCCCGATATAAAAGCTTTTTAAGTTTAAATGATTATCTCCGAAAGAAAAGAGTATTTCCTTAATTTTGTTTAAAGTGATCCTAACATTAACCACAAAAGTAATATTCTGGTACTTTATAGTTTTCTACATCTTACATAAACAATCGGGCTTTTATGGTGAACATGTCATTTATGTTCAAAGTACATATGATTGTGAACAAGCTAAATGTTGACCAGATTATATAACCATTTTACACTGATGTCAGATTAAGAATGAATATGTGTTTAGTGCTGCAGATAAAGGCGACCACACTAATGTGCAGTATTACAACTTTGATTTAAATCACTTTACATTGTCAAATTAAAAAAAAAAGTCATTTTTAATGCAGTAAATAAATGCAAATCAGTCAGAGGACCTTTAATTTCTGAGGTTCAGTTGTATTTTCTCAGAGCTTTATGTTTAAACTTGGTCCCGTTTCCATAAAAGATCATATCGAGGCACAGATTTCTGTAAACATGGGGGATTATATCTGAGCCACGAAAAGTAATCACGATCTTATCTGGCTGAGGAATGTTCTATCTGGCAACCTCTAGTTTTGTGCTGAAGTGAAAGGAGGTCATTTTATGTTGGAAACCTTTCATGAAACTCACATTTAGGATGCTTTACACTTTCAGATGTTACAACCCCAATTCCACGTTTGAAGCACTTTCTTGTCCGTTTTTTTTTATTTATTTATTTTTATTTAGATTAGATAAGTATTAAAAAGCCTGACAAATTTAGGAGAAGTGCTGTTTAAGGTTTGATCAGGGATGTTTTGGTTCTGTCTGTAGCTCTTGATGCTACTTTGTTTCTAATGATTTTTGCTGGTCTCTGATGTTAATCATTTGAAACCTGTTAACTTTCACAAATCAGACACATTTGCAAAATACAGCAAAAAAAAAAAATGAAGGAGTTATTTTCAAGGAGTTTCTATTTAAGGAGAATACTAGAGGAGTTCAATGTCTTAGCCAGGTCTTAAATACTAAGCATGTTTTGTGAAGTGAATATTGTTTCTAAATAATTTTTATGATAATGTATAGCTTTCCAACAATATATTTTCAAGTTCAAAGTGACTATTGTCATTTCACCACATGCGGTACATGAGGTGGAACAAAATGATGTGCTCAGGGTCCCAGTTACACCCAGAAATAGCAAAAATATAAAGTATAAAAAGAAACCGTATATCACGATCTAAAATATACGCTAAACACTAATATTCTAAAATAATACGGTATATTAAACAGCAGTCTGAACATGAGTCTGTAGTGAGCAGATGGGTATGAATTTATACAGCAGCATGAGATAGTCAGCAGCATGAGATCAGCAGCATGTAATGAGCAGCACAGATGTCGCATATCACCGATTTAAAGTGACATTACAGTGATTTCCTTTTCTTCCTTACAGTGATTATCCTGGTTAGGGATTCATGAGTCTTAACAGCTTCAGGGTAGAAGCTGTCCCTCAGTCTAGTGGTTCTACACTTAATGCTCCTCAACCTCCTGCCTGAGGGGAGTGGGGCAAAAAGTGTGTGTGCTGGGTGAGTGGGGTCCTTCATGATGCAGGTGGCCCTCTTCCTGCATCTGGAGGTGTAGATGTCTGTGATGGAG